TTCGGCGGCCAGTTGCTTAAACAGATCCAACACTAGAGGAAGAAAAGGAAAACATACGCTTCAGTTGAATAAGAACAAATGGTTTCATCCCGAAGTTTTATTCAACAGGAATTCCCCCAAATTACTAAGACAGAGTTGTGACCTCGGTTTTCAATGCGCACAATCTACCCACTATCAGTCATTATAAATGCTGACTAGAAATTGACCGATAGCCATGGGTACCACAAAAGGATGACATGACGGTCGGCAACATTGATGGGCTGAGCAAAGCCCCGGATAACACCTCAACTGCCGAAGTGTGTTGTGTCAATCCTCAATTTTATCATATGCTAAATAAAAGTCTGTTTATTAGTCCCCTCTAATTCGATAGCGAATACTTCAGACCCCAGCTAGCCTTTAATAAACGCCGCTGCCCTAGGCATGCGGTGGCCAACAGCTTGAAAAACAGACTGACCAATCTTTTCGAAACCAGCCAGTCAAAACGCAATAACAATTTTGACAGGATGTGCACAGAAATAAGGGTCGAGGTTAAAGCTAGAATGTAATTTAGCGTTACAACCAAAGGGTTCAGTTAGAGTGCACACGAAAATATCCGGGCTTAATCTCCGTTCTGAATTCTTCACGCAACGGATAGCAGAACAGTGGAATGATTTGCCGCAATCAGTCATGATGCCACCCCTCTCGAGTGCGAACGCACGCTCCTTCAGCTTTCAACTGCCTCCAACCTACTATCCACTTTCGGTGTATGGAATATATTATGCTTTCCACATGGCGTACAACTATTTCTCTTCCCACACGCAACCAGTCCGCAGCGTTTCACTGAAAAGTGGCTTGTAGGCAACTCGGTGGATTTTGTAATGGCTTTGGTTCACGACAATGGTCAGGTGCACATGCGGTTCGTAGGATACCAGGGAAATGTCTCAGATCAACCATCCGAATTTCGCCCACTCGCAAGAAGAGTGGCAATCTGTAAGGCAAGCTCCCATCAAAGAATGAGCAAAACTAAGAATTGTTGGTTTATTTACCAGCGAGGCTCCT